AGGAAAAAATCAATTATTCTCACGTCTCAGTCACACACACACACACATACACACACACACACACACACACACACACACACGTGTTTGATGGTGAAGAATAATTTTTCAAATTTTTCAAACTTTTTCATTAACGTCTATTCTTGCGCAAATTTATAATGGCATGCAACAGTGATTTTGAAGAAAAATGTAACTCTCTATACACTGTAATATATTTTACATATTTCTAAAATTTATAATTTTTTTAAAACGAAAAAAAAAATGAAAAATTAGATGGAATGTTTTTCCATTTGTAACATACACGTTGATAAACAATGTATTTTCAGCAGTAGATTGGCAAATTACATCTATTTCATTTTATCATTTTTTCTGTTTATATCCGACAATCTCTATTGACGGTGACTTTAGAGTGTAACGCGATGAGTAAAGACGTGAAATTGAACAATGTGAAAAAAAAATAAAAAAAAAAAAGTTGTTGCACAAACCAATAACGACATTAAGATTCGAGAGGAAAAATATGAAACATATATGCAACAAAGTTTAAATTTAAATTGTTGTTTTATTACAGTTTACATTTTATTTAATTTTATTAGACGTTGTTAAATGTGTATTTGAATAATTACAAAAGCTATTTTTTCCATTTCTATTCAATTCGAGTAAAATATTACAATTTTTTCACTACATACACATTTCTATTGTTCTCTTATAAATTGCGTTTAAATCAGGTAGGTTTCAAGGTTCCATTCTCCTCACATACTGTAATTTGGAATCAACGCTACGTGGACGTGTGTGGTTGACATTCCAATCAAATTATGCAACTAAACTAAAACGGAATGAAAATTAAAATTTAAAAAAAAAACATAAATAGGTTAATAAACGTAGATGAAATTGTTTTTAATTTATTTATTTGCAACAGTTTTAATTGTATTACTTTAGGTATACATATATTTAAAAGTTTATACAATTTTTACATTTTTCTTCTTTACAATCAAATTTTACGTTATGGTGAACGCCTACAAAATAGATTGCTTCTCGATTGGTTCAATCGCCGCCAAAGTTGCCGCCATTATGCTCATTGATTCACCCGGCGTCTACTTGCACCGCGCATGGAATAGGAGGTGGTATAGTAGATGGACGCGCCTTCCTCTCTAACCTCCCACTCAACTCTCCAATGTTTTATTACTATACGTATATTTAATGAGGCACGCGTATACGCATGTCCGCATGCGACGAAACAATATGACGACGACGACAATGACGACGACGACGACGTTCAACGGCCAACCGATAAAACAAATAAAATTGTATATTTCAAGTAAACGTTTGTATTTTTTGAGCAATTAAAAAAAAATTTTTTTATTTAAATATTAAAAGCGCGCGCGCGCGCGCACTCGATCCAACGTAATGTGGAAAATGTTATTGACCGCGTTTAGCAGACCAAACACAGCTCACAATCAGTAGCAATCGAACGTGCGTGGCTCTTATTTTTAGAACCAACCACGCAACGCAGTGTCGATAAGACGACACTTGGACAGTTGTGTCTGCTAAACGCGGCCATTGGTACTGTTGAAACGCGTGCGTGCGCGCGCACGCTTTCTCTATCGCGTTGACTCGACTTTATTTATATTTCCCGGCTTCAAGATGGCGCCGTCTTCTTCATCATATCGCCATTTGTCGATTCTCTATTGGCTGCGCGTGGTTGGAGAATTTCCTTGTGCATTTCTCCGCTGTTTCGCGCGTGTCGCCGCCATCATTTCTGTACGTTAAATTGTGCGATTTACAAAAAAAAAAAATAAAAACAATTTCGACAACGATACGTGTCGCGGGCACGAAACGATTTGTCGTACGTGAAAATTGTGAGTAATGTCACACATTTCGGCTTTTCGAAACTCATTTTTTCCCGAGTAAAGTAAATAATTATGCTCACGACTGTGTTTCAGAATGACGCGTAAACGCGCGACGAATGTGACATTTTCGCCTTTTCGATTCGCTGTGCAAAAAAACACAAGTCACCAAGGAGAAATGGATAAGATGGAAGCTGATTGTCGTATGTACGTTAATGTCAGCGACCACCAAGATCTTTGAAGAGAGTAAATGAAATCATACTGTGGTCAGTCAACGCGTAGGTACATACATTTTTGTCCGTGAGCACATTCTCTCTCAACTGTAATTAGTACAATTTGCTGCAATTATAACCTTGCGCGACATTGTTGTAGATTTTATCGAGGCAATAGACACTCGAGATACGTGCACGTTGCGACACTTTTGTTAGGGTTCAGCTTGACAATGGAAACTTTCACGAGTGTGTTGGTTTTTATGCTGCGCGAGAATCTAATCGAAACTCGTCGATGCAAAATACCAGAATTGTACGTGTCAATTATTTGATAAAACTTATGCATTTTACATTTTGGTCAAATAGTAGGAACCATGTGTTTGCGCAGGATTCTGCTGTAAAGGCCTCAATTATAAAAAGAGCTCTCCTGTAGTTTGAATGACATTTCGAAAGATAGCTGCAACAGTTGCAGAGACAACGTAAAGAAAATATATAATTTGTTTTGCTCTATACAAACATTTTCATTTTTAGTCACATTTGATCTGCATGTGTAACATATATATATATATATATATATATATATATATATAGCAGAGCCGGGATTTAGTTGCACATTTCGGGCCGATTCCCGACGCGACGCCTCCTATACCCCCACTACCGCTCGAGGCGCAGCGGCCGAGCCGCCGATCGCTCACGTGACGCGTCATCTCAGGAGCGTCGCGCGTGCTAAGCATGATGAAACTGCAATCTCCCCCGAATAATATACCGATTAAAAAGTTAGTTATATAGACGGTTAAAATATGTAATTATAATTAGGACAATAGTTTCCGCGCCACCCATGGGTACTATTGCTGACGCGTTTTTTTTCAAGTGGTTTTCCCAGTAGGCCTATTCCACTAAAAAGAAAAATAATGTGAAATATATTAATGAACGAAAGAGCTAGCTCGCATTAATAAAGTTAATGATTTATCGTTTAAGTTTAAGGAAGAACGTTTATCGGTTTTTATGATTTCCCTTTTCGAAAACGAGCATTCACATAAGAATGTTGATCCAAACATGAAAAAAATTCGAAGACCACAATTTTTAAGATTAGGGTAACTTGAATGATTTAAAATCTTAAAAAAGTCCGCCTCTTTTTCTGGACAAGTCTTGAGGGAAAGATCATTTTGCAAATCGCAAAGTTCCTCTTGAAAGTCTAAATTTTGTTCTTTGATTTCCGCAGTAAGAGGATATTTGAACAGAACCAAGTCCCTTCTAAGACTTTCAAAGTCAGTAAAACGCGTGTCGAACTGACTTATTAATAAGTCAATTAAGTGAATGTTTTTTTAAATTACAGCTTGTGCTGTATTCTTCGAAAAGAATTTGGCAAGAGAGATAGAAATGGAAAATATCTTTTTTCAAATGATTTTTAAATAAAATTAATTTTCTATGAAATAAATCAATATGACTAATTAATTGACATATTGTTTGGTTGGCCTTTTGCAGCTTTAAAAATATTTAAATGACTGGTTACATCTGTGATAAGAGCGAGTTCACAAAGAAACGTCGTATTTACGAAGAGAGATTTAAATTTCCTACGTTAACTATACCGCGTGTTTATGCCGCGCATTCGATATGCAATTGTTTTGATTCCTTCTTGTTTTCCAACCGTTATTGTCGCTGGCAGATCACTTCGTGAAACGTGGGTATAAAGTGCGTGGATATAAACTCTTGTTATTCTTCGTTATTCTTATATCTTCGAAAAGTTATAAGGTAGGTTTTTTTGTGTAGTTTTTCCTTAAGTGTGCGTGCTAATAATTGTGTAATTTTTTTGTTAAATCAGTACGATGGCCAGTGAGCAAAAGTATGAACAACATTTTGATAAGAAATGGGAGGATAGTTTTTTTACACTTATTGGCAATCACACGGTGTGTATTTTATGCAAATATCAACCTGCTGTTGTGAAAAAATTTGTCATTGAGAGACATTATAAAAAAAAACATTCAAGTGAATATTCAAAATATGAAGGTCAAGAAAAACGTAATTTAATAAAGGGTTTAAAATTAATTTATCAGGAAAGTTCCAGTTTTAATGATAATTCTAATAATGCTAATTCTTCGGTAAAAGCTGTCACTGCATCATATGCTATTTCGCTTCTTATTGCCCAGCATTCTAAGCCGTTTATGGAAGGTAATTTTATAAAGGAATGTCTCATCGAGGCAGTAAAATCATTCGGAAATTCATTGACGCTTGCTGAAGCTGCTAGCATTCCTTTAACTAAAAAGACAGTGGCAGCAAGAATTACTGATATTGCTTGTTCGATAGAAGAAAAACTAAAATTTTTGTTAGACAGTTGTGCTTATTTTTCATTATGTTTAGATGAAAGCACCGATATTGGACATGTGAGTCAATTGAGTATTTTTGCTCGAATTGTACAAAACGATTTTTCACATGTTGAGGAGCTCTTAGATTTTGTTCCATTACATGACACAACAACAGGTCTAGATATTTTTAAAGCCGTTGAACAAATTCTTCAAAAATTTGACACCGATTTTTCAAAATGTTCAGCCATAGTAACAGATGGCGCAAGAGCGATGACAGGTCAAAAAATTGGTTTCTTCGGTCAACTAAAGCAGCGCAATTTAAAATTCCCCCTTATTCATTGTATTATTCATCAAGAAGCATTATGTGGGAAAGCTATAAAATTATCTACCGCCATGAAAACTGTTACAAAAATCATTAATTTAATAAAAGGCGGCCACAAGTTTCTTTCTCATCGCAAATTTCAACACTTTCTCGAAGAGCATAATGCACTTTATACAGATGTACCCCTACATTGTGAAGTCCGATGGCTCAGTGCTGGGAAATGTTTAGAGAAGTTTTTTGCGATAAGAAAAGAGATCTTCCTTTTCTTGCAAGAAATGTCTATTGCCAAAGATGATGACATTAAATATATTTTCGAAGACACTGAGTTTCTTTGTGAACTCGCTTTCATCACCGATGTAACTAATCATTTAAATATTTTAAATACAAAGCTGCAAAAGACCAACCAGACAATATGTCAATTAGTTAGTCATATTGACTCATTTCGTAGAAAACTAGTTTTATTTAAAAATCACTTAGAAAAAGACACTCTTTATTTCTACCCTTCTTGCCAGATTCTCTTCGAAGAATACGGCACAGTTTGCAATTTTAAAAAATATATTCAGTTAATTGACTCATTAATAACTCAGTTCGACACGCGTTTTACTGACTTCGAAAGTCTTAGAAAGGACTTAGTTCTGTTCGAAAATCCTCTCACTGCGGAAATCGAACAACAAAATGTAGAATTTCAAGAGGAACTTTGCGATTTGCAAAATGATCTTTCCCTCAAAACTCGTCCAGAAAAAGGAGCGGACTTTTTTAAGATTTTAAACAATTCAAATTACCCTAATCTTAAAAATTTTGGTCTTCGAATATTTTCCATGTTCGGATCCACATACTTATGTGAATGCTCGTTTTCAAAAATGAAAATCATAAAATCCGATAAACGTTCTTCTTTAAGCGATAAATCATTAACTTCATTAATGCGAGCTAGTTCTTCTAACATTTCTATAGATATCCCATCTATTGTAAAATCATGTAAACGGCCTAGAAAATCGACCAATTAGTAAATGAGAGTAAAATAAAGAGGAACAGAAATGCATTCTGCGATTAACGCAGTAATTGTAAATAAAATGCATTCTGCGCAGTGCGCAGTGAT